AAGAAGGTTCTTTGTGTGCCAATAAACAGTTCATCTTTGTACCCTTATTCTGACTACGTATGCTGTTTGGGAGTTCGTGTGTTTTACTGTGGGAATTATCCAGGAACACTATTGGATTTACAATTGGGAATTCGTCTACTATAACTACCGAACGGAGGGCTATATTCACTGGGCTCTGGCTGTTCGGGAGGAAACTACCAATTAAGGTTTAAATGTACTTGGTTTCCTTACAACTGGTGGCAAGCGGCGGGATTCGAATCCCGAACGGACGTTTTAAAGCAAGCAAAGGAATGAATGGCGCAGCAGTACCAACAGCTTAAAAGAACCACGCTTAAGGATTTGCTGGAAGCTCGAGGCGTAATAGCAAGCAACAAAACAAAAGCCACGTTAATTGCAGAGCTAATACAGGGCGACAGAACCAGCACTACAGAAATGGAACCTGAGGAAGAAACGGTGATGCAGAAGGACATCAGATGGATGCTCAGTTTATTGGGACCTAATCCAGAAACAGAGGCGATGCTGCAGGTCATGGCACAAGCCAGGCAAGCACAGAAGGAGCGAGATGACAGACTACTACGGGGGGATTTGGTACACCCCCCGGAAAGTACAAATGACATGCCGAAAAAGGTAAATTATGCTGCATTTAAAAACTTTAATGACAATGAAATGGAGATTGATAGTTATCTGCAAGACTTTGAAAGGCAATGTGCACTGGAGGGATTAGACTCCACCAAATGGGTTGCAGTACTGAACAGCAAGTTGTCAGGCAGAGCATCAGAAGCAGCACGAGCAGTACCTGATGAAGATATTCATAATTATGGAAAGATAAAAGACATTTTGTTGGCTAGATATGCGGTTACCCCTGAGGCATACAGAAAGAAATTCAGGGAACTGAGGAAAACAGGGAGGGATACCCATACTGAATGGGCATTCCGGCTACACAGGGCAGCCCGAAATTGGATGAAGGGCTGCCAAGCAACCACTCTGGAGGATGCGTTACAACTCCTCCTATTAGAACAATTTTTTAGCCATACCGCAGAGGATATCAAGGACTGGGTTAAAGATAGGAAGCCTAAAACTGTGGAGGAGGCAGCAAGACTGGCAGATGAATACCAGGATAACCGGGGGTGAGCCGACCTGCGTTTAAACAACCTTATTCAGCCCCAACCACGGCTGCACCACCTAGAGCCCCCCTGAGTAATTCGCCCCACAACCCAGCAGCAGCACCCCGACAACCTGCAGTGTGTCACTACTGCAAACAACCAGGACACTTTAAAAATCAGTGCCCACATTTAAACCGGGGAAGCTGGGAAAGGCAACCTCCACAGTCACAACCCAGGACCGCTGCTCATTGTGTACAGCAGGAGAGTACATCATGGGTACCTCCCCACGAGGAACAATGGAGTGTGTTGCACGAAGTCAACACTGTGCAAGCCGGGGGTGACAACCGGGACCACCACCGTCAATGGATTACGGTAGACGGGGTGGGGGCCCGCGCCTTAAGAGACTCTGGGGCCACGTTAACTGTGGTTCAACCGCACACTGTCAAGGCTCAAACTCACACGGGCCGCACTGTGGCAATAAGGGTGCCATCCACAAATTACCCACGGCTAAAGTTCTTGTGGATTGGGGCTCGGGATCTAAACAACTAGAGGTTGGCATTATGCAGGAGCTACCAGCCGAAGCACTGTTGGGGAATGATGTGGGCTGTTTAACTTCCCAGTTAGCCCGAGACACCACAGCTGAGGCGTATCAGGTTACCACCCGAGCTCAAGCCAGACTGGAAGCACCGCTGCACTCTGAGGAAACCCAGGTAGGAGTTGACATCCCCCCTTTACCCGACCCCCCTCCCTCGTTCTGGGATACTCCCCAGGGGTTTGAGCAGGAACAAAGGACTGACCCCACTCTAGCCGGGTATAGAAAAGCAGTAGGGGACAATAGGGGCGACAACCCCAACGAAAAGTTTGAATGGCATAAGGGACTGTTGTATAGGGTGACAGATGGGGCGGGACACGGAACCGCCCAGGCTACTAAA